AGTAGGCTGGATTTGCAATGATTAGGGGTTTGTGGTTTATATAGTAGAGAGTCCTCCTCAGCCAGCGTAGGAGACACAGCAACACGTGGTATCCTGACACAGGATCAAAGTCATTAGCATGTCCCCAGCCAGCTGCTGCAATACACCCCATCCACAGAGAGCAGCAGCAGCAGCAGCAGCAGGCGGACATACACCATCACAGGAGAGAGCTGGGAAGCAAAAAAAAAGAGGTTTAGAGCTTTTCCTGACGCAGTAGCAGCAGCCCCCTGCCTGCCCGGCCAGTTTGTTTGTGTCTTATGTTAGAAAAAAAGGGCAGATCTTATTAAGAGCATTTTCTGTACCCAATAGTAATAGCGCAGGACGCCTCCCACTGCAAGATAAGGGCCTATGAAAAGCCTTGCTGGCTGATTTGGGGAGCTGTGCAGTGCCATGTCCTGTTCCACCTTTCTGCCTGGCTCTGGAGAGAGAGAGAGAAGGGAAGAGCCGCTGGGTTAAAGAGCCTGCCTGCCAGTGTTCAGTTAACTCTAACCGGTCCTGCTCGCCGCCTAGCCGAGTGATACACAAATCAGATATATTGTTGTTAAAGGAGAACTATGAGGCGAGTGACAATGAAACAGTCACACGTCGGCTCAATAGATCGGGAAATGAGCAAACACATAGGTCTGCCTGCAGAGAGCCGTGACTGTCACTCACGGCTCCCTGCAGGGATTCCCCCCCTCCCCTTTCCGATCCTCCAGCGCTGACTGGCGGAACGGACGGTAGCTTGCGGTATACTGAGCTTAGGGTGACGGGAGGACGCTAGTTTATGTCCTCCCGTGACCCTAAGGAGAACTATGGGGAAAATCACTGACCCCATAGTTCTCTTTTAATAGTTAGGGAACCTGAATGCATTTTTAAGATTAATTTCCTGAGTTTAAGCTGGCCATACATGCCTAGATTCCTTTCCATTTCATCCATTCCATGGACTGATGAACCTCCCCTACCAGGGTATTGTATTCTGACAGCCGATCGAAAGTAATCTAACAGATCCCTTTATCCACACAAAATAGTGCTAATGGACAAATCTCCTCTACCTATTGTATGCTGAGAGCCATTCCAAAGGAATCTAACAGGTTCCTCCTTCCGTGCCAAACAGGCCTGATGGATGAATCTCCCCTGCTGGCCTATTGTATGCTGACAACGGAAGGAAAGGAATCTAACAGATTCCTCCATCCACACTAAGGCATGGGTAGACAGATCTCCCTGACCAGGCTATTGTCTGCTGACAACGGAAGGAAAAAACTGGGCGGGATTACGTTAAAACGTGTGACCACGTCACCGGTCACACATTCTAACGTAGTCACAACCTTTGATAGAACACTGCCATCAGGGGGGGTATGGCCGGTACCCATGTGAGGGGTCTGGGGGGCCTCTTACATGGGTATCAACTGTCCCAGGCCGGCATGACAGAGGTGACAGGGGAGCGGGTGGAGGAGGCCGGGCCCCAGCAGCAGCAGGTAAGAAGAGTTGGGAGGAGGTACAGGGAAAGGGATCCCGACGACCAGGCCAGCCCACATGGGACCCTGCAGAGCCCACCATAGAGAGTCTCAGGTGGGCTATGCAGGATCAGAGCAGTTCAAAAGAAATCTAACCGATTCCTCCATCCACGTATAGACAGATCTCTGCTACTGGGCTATTGTATTATGACAACCAATGGAAAGGAATCCAACAGACTCCTCCATTCACACTAAGGCACGGATAGACAGATCTCCCTTACCGGGCTATTGTCTGCTGACAACGGAAGGAAAGGAATCTAACAGACTCCTCCATTCACCCTGAAGCTGACCATTCACTGTTCTACTTTTGTAATTCAACCCGCGGGCTGAACAAAAAAAAGAAATAGAACAGATTCCTCCATCCACGCTAAGCAGCACAGATAGACGGATATCCCCTACTGGGCTATTGTATACTGACAGCCAGGACCCGTCCTTATCAGAATGCCCGAGCAGTGACTGAATAGGGCTGAAGCTGATTGGCTGCAGTTACTGTTCATTCCCCCAAAAAATGTTCAACCTGGCTGCTTCAACAAATGTCCATTGAAATCCGACTATTGTCAAGCCGGGTGGTGCCAGCAGGGCCACCCACGCATAGAATTTTGGCTGATTCAGCAGGAGTCGGCTGACATTGAAGCCAGCTTTAGGTATTTAAAAACCTGATGGACTGTCAGTTAGCGCATGTTAGATTGTGAACTCTCAGGGGCACTTTCCCCCGAACCCCTTACCTAACC